CATCATTTCTGTAATACCTCAAAAAGCCAATGGAACTGACGCACAGCATCTGCAGTTCCCTGGAACCAACTTTTCCCCGCTTCCCCTGGAGTTTGAGTGGCCGCGAGAACCTGCAGAAGTAGCACTTGCAGCTTCAAAACCGATCTTTTTTGAATCGAACATACTTGTAATTTACTTAATCATGTAATTTCCTAGAGTCTTTAAGTCGGTGTGAGTAAAGTATGATCTTATGGAGTTAGTTGATGCGATGGGCCTCAAATACCTCGACATAGCCATCTCCGAATGTGACCCCAGCGCCAGAGTTGTAAGCGCGAGCAATATGCCTGTTGAGTGAAGCTGAATTGAACTGTGTGAGAATGTACACTTTGTTGATCCCACTGTTAATGCAATTGCTCATTGGCACGTCAATTAGCCTATAAGCACCTCCAATAGGAACCTGCCATAGAAAATCCCACACAAGATCATCAAATTTGTGTAGCTCCATAATTTTATACTGATAAAGTGTAAGTTGAGATATCCTCAACAACTCATCACATGCACTATAACGTTACATTTGTCAAGCAGAACTACATATAGGCATGAATAAACATGCAATTATCCGTGTTATGTTTCTTTACAATTCGCATTACTTTTGCATAGCTAGTCTATCTAAGAATATTCTAGATCACCAAGAAGGTTGACAATTAAGAGAGAACAAAATAAAACAAGAAAGATTTAAAAAGAGACATACAGCAGGTTTGGCACGGCGCTTGGTGAGAGGAAAGAGACGAGTTCCAGCTCCTCCGCCGAGTATAACTGCCACGACCGTCCGTGGGTCCCTTCTTTCCATGTCTAGATCCCTTAACTGCACTTGCCCACAACATAATGCAAAAATTTTGGGACTCCGAAAGTAATGGGCCACTCAAAATGGGCTTCACTGAATTCAATTATAATACAATAAACCCAAATTCTGTCATCCATTGCAAGTAAGAGTAGGGTAGATATTCCATGATTGTTATACCCAAGCACCTCATTTCATATGCCGTACCAAGGGGGGGGAGCAAAGGAGCGCTACATATACTCTGTTTACTAATGAGGAACACTTGGGGCACCATGTATCAGATATGAACAAGTGTATTCAAATTCAGTGAAGGCGATGGCGTCCTTGACCCTAACTATAAATGCAATACATTTGGTGGACTGCTCCAAAAATGTTCAGTTTTGGTTCACCAAAATACATGACTAAGTTATTACGATATTATCTAGCCTATTCTGAGTTTTGTTTCTTGTGAGAGGATTTGTATTAAGAGCATAGGAGAGAAGAGGAGAAGAAAGTGAGGTTGAGAGCTTAACCTTGGATTCACTGGTGAAATCGGCAGTTAGAGACAGGGAGATTGGTTGCATGATATTATTGTGAGTGCAATGAGTATTACCATTTCCTTGTTGCAGAAGCTTGGGAAGCATGAGCTTCTGTCCCATGAGTTCCCCATTAGAGAACTTCACAAGCTTCCAGTTCCTGCCGGCCAATCCCCTTGCTCCACGTAACTGGACGGAAGCCGACAGAGATATCCGGCAATCCGCTGAGACCGCCATTTTTTCAGGACAGGAAATTCAGTTGTCAGGGAAGAGCATTTGAATTAGAGTGTGGATGCATGTTTGCTTATGTATAGTGGTGTCCTCTATGAAGCTGAGATTTGCTTACGTGGGCACTAGTCTATTGGAGGATTGGGCCACGTTATCCGAATTCGACTGCATCCACCAATTTGGTCAGTCTGTGTCCGGAGGATCTTGTTTTGCTGTGTAGAGTGACAATTTAGCCCTCCTAGATTTTGGGATTTAATTTAATTGCCGAAAATTCTAGTGGTTCACGATTGGATTTTGTGACTTAGTTGCATGAATGAGGTGGAATGATTCCCTATGCCCTTAGCCATAGTCTGAATTTTCCACTTGAAAGTTGGCTTTCAATGACAGAAATTGGTTTGTCTTCAAGCTTGGAGCGAGGATGCATGAGAGTTTCATGATTTTGATAGGCCATTTGACATGTCTTTTATGTTGTTAGTAGTAATTAGCGACACTTGCAAACGCAAAGGTTATAGAAAATTAAAAAATAAATAAATAAATAAATAAGTTATCAACTTTCAAGTTGATTAGTCTTATGTCAAGTGAGTTATAAATGACCTGATAAACACAATTTTAGTCTAAAAAGTTCCTCACAAAGTAACTGTTATAACTAAAGTTTTTTTAGGTCTTTTTTTAAAATAAAAACAAAGTAAATTAAAGTAATAATTGATTTGCACGAGGAGATGCTAATGCACTTATCGTCAGGACTACTTCTATTGCTGAGATGAAACAAAAAATTAACTAGTAATCAACACATATGTGACGATATATAAGAAAATAAAAGTTGTCAGCTGTGACTTAGATGTTTCTTTTAACTAACGCTTCCAAGTTTAAAGAAAAAATCCTGCTGGCTTTAATCCTGCTTTGCATGTTTAAACTCTTAAGAAACCAAAACAGCATCGTTCGTCGGTCAAACGACTTTCGGATTGAAAAGAATCCTGACAGGTCTCCAAATATGTCGGTGCTTTACCGTTGTGAGTAGAATTTTTTATTCCTTAGCCTTAAAGAAACAGCAGGTAAGGTACCTAACAAGAAATACCCCCAGAATCGGTGCCTGAACCTACTGTTGAAGTCAAGAAAACCAGTTTCTGGAAAAGACCAAGCTAGCTACTGCCATCAATGGCGTTGGCCAAGTTTTCTGTGCATTTTTTCCTGCTTGTTTCTTCCATTCTCTTATTGAGTCACCCTGTCAAATGCAGTGACGGTGACTACTCTCTTTCTCTCTCCAAGTATTCTGTCTTTCATTTATCATCTTACTTGAATTAGCTAATTTTATTTCATATTATGTGGGTTTCTTTTTTCTTATTATCGATTAATTCTTGCATGAAAACCTTTATAACTTGCTTGAATAATCTGCTCAACCAGCACCAAATTTAAGATTGAAATTCCTTTTGCTTTCTCCTACTTGATCATTTATGATCTTTTTCTTTTGGTTTTCGTCTGTTTCTCAATTGTAAAGCGAGCTTTGAGAAAGGGAACAATAATAATTGATTTGAGATTCTTGAGTGAGGGATTTTATTTTCAAGGATTAAAGGCCCTTTTATTCTTCAACTATATAAAAAGGTCACAAATAAGTTTAAATATAATTATGAATCAATTCTATTTCTCAATTTTAAACATTTCATACCTCATTACCCTGTCGTTTTCTCACTATTAGCTGACCATTAATAGGCCTCACATTATACTTTTTTAATATTTTTTATTATAAAATATTTGAATTAAAAGGCAACAATCACCCTTAATTTGATAAAAATATCTAAAAAATAATGAAACTTACTAATGACTAACAAACGTTAAATGTTTTTAATGTCAAGGTGATAACAAAAGAAATCTTTAAAATTGAAAAATAAAATTGATCTATAGTTGAATTTAAAATCATTTGTGACTTTTCATATACAATTTAAAAGAAAAAATAGCCCTTAACCTTATTTTCAATGAAGAAGCTTCTGACCTTATAGATATGCTCATCATATGTTTCTTTTTTCTTGCATTTGGGTACTAAACTTGATATTTCCCATTTATGATTCATATACTGCAATGGATTTTCCATAAGGAAAGAACAAGGTTGAATCTTCCCCAGAACATTATTAGGATGACTCCTTAGTGGAGCATGGTATTTTCTCCAAGTGCCCCTTTCCCATACAACTGAAGGACTAACTAATGGTACTAATCGATTCAGATTTAAATTGACAAGATGCTGTTGCAGTTGTCAGCATGTTTATTCCAAACCTTTATCTAATATACTCGATTTTCTTGTTTAAATTCAGTGTTCCTAAAACAAGAAGTACCGAGCAACCTTAATTTGACAGCTTAGTAAAGTTGACATCTTGACAGTGCACTTGGATTTTCACAATCCACTTGCAGATGAGGAAGATAATCTTTTCCAGGGAATCAACAAGCATTGAGCATCCTTAAACTTGACAGCTCAAACAAAGAATGAAAATGCACAGTGTCTTGCTGATAAAATAGCTGACCAGTTTAAGGGCCAACCCCGAACAAATACCACAGGCGCAAACACTGTACCAGGTACAGAACCACAATTTTCCAACTATCCAGACCTTTCAACACTTGAATGTTTCCAGCACCAGGGATGCAGTTGTAATGCCTGCCTGTTTTCCTAGCCTGGACACGAGCCTTGTCCTCACTAATTTCACGCAACCTCTACCCAGAGAATCTAAACGACAGAAAGTACACTGGAATTGGCATTGGTTCCGGATTGTCGCTGTATTGACCACTAGTATTCCTGAGGGAAGCTTTCAGTCTGATAGCCAGAATGGTGCCAATTTGATTTCCAATGTCAGTTTGATTTACTACTCAATGCTCTTGCTTGTGGGTAGCATGTTGCTGTTGTGAACCAAGAGGATGGTTGCTAAAGGTGCTTCAGTCCGAGGTGCCACAACAGAGATCTTTGTGTGAGATAAGAATACAAAAAAAAAAAACTCCTGTTTTGTGGTGAAAATACAAGGCACGCTGCATATTGTTTCAGTATTGTAACATGTTTCAGTCTGTAGAATGGGAAAGATGACCTGTATGCTAAAGAAGAAGCATTCTTTTGCAACCTGCCACGAGAATTTCAATTTTAAAATGAAAGTTCTGCAGTGGCTTATTGGATTTTGAGATTCATTATAAATGCGGTTCAAGCTCATCTTCTGATTCAGTTTTAGGCCGTAAAGAATATGAAATTTAAGCAGATAGCAAAAAATTCATTTTATTTTAAGGCTGAATTCAAAGTTACTGTTTTGTTTTTGTTGGGGGACGTTCAGAATTACTTTTGGCAGAGGAACATTAACAAGGTTCTGTGAGATTTGGAAATAGAAAACTAGCATGAATCGCATAGATATCTTCATTTGGGTTTTACGGAGAACTAGGACACTAATAACCTACAGAAGGCCGTAGCACACTAAACTAGGAACTTATTTTTATTGGCCAAAATATGCTATGAACTTCGAGAATAGGTCATCATGAAATCTTTCCCAAAAGATGCATCAGAGGGAATCCAGCCATGATAGAAAATCCATAACATATATTGTCGATGCTCAAAATATATATATATATATATATATATATCATCAGTAACCTGATTAGCTGCAAAGACTGCAGATTTGGCATTTCATTGCACTGCTTAACGTGGGAGGTCCATGGCCCATCACAAGCTGACATTGACTCCTAATGAAGAACCAGTTTTCCTCCATAGGAGACAACCATGTAGCATCGGAGAATTTGATTGGTAAAGTACTTATCGCTAACTCAAGCTTCCTTTGCTTTGGGAGGAGCAGACAGATACCTGCCAATCATGTGCATCAAAATCCATGACGTCTTCGTGATCTTTTCCTTTACCATCAGAAGTAGCGCTGCACTCAGAACAGTTTTCAATATCTGCGCTTGCAATCCATTGAAAAACCCCAGCAGGCCTTCTCTTCTCCAAATAGTACAGAGTGCACCTGAGATTGTTCGTTGTGCTTTTCGCTCAGCTTGTGTACTTTGATTATCATCTGACTCAGCCGATTGAATCATAACCTTACACCTATAGGCAGTTTAAAACAACTTTCATCGGCTAGTCCACAAAATGGCCCAAGCAAACAAAAAGATAAAGAGGAAAACCAACAGAAACTTTAGATATGCATAAAATGAATGTTCCCTCCTTCTTTAGGAACCATATTTGACTGAGGGTAGATGAAATGACATGACCATCCACCTGATAGCTGGGTAGGTTAGACACGTGGCAGCACATTTTGAGACTGCACCCAGCATGAAAGCACAAAAGGCAGAAAGAGCTTCCGGGGATGACTTTGTACCTATTTTCTTGTTCATCTTTCCCTTTAGTAGTCTCTGTTTCAGTTGATCAAATGCCGTATACTGTTGGGAAGAGAGAAAAACTTGTCTGAACATAGGTTGTTCTCAAGCGAACCTGAAATGATACGAAAGAAACTCCTCTAGGCCTTAGTTGTATACATGCTCTATGAAGGACTGATACCTGAATAGACGGGTTTGATGTTAAAAGAAGAGATATCCCAAGGCCATCAAACGCCTCACTGCATGTACCCTCTGATAGGGTCTTCCAAAATCCCTTGGATTTTCCAAATTCGCTAGTCTGCATCCTTGAGGCTGCCGTATCTAAGGGCTGTGAAGTACAATTAGATGTTAAATATGCATGACAATAGATGCTATGGTAACTGAATAATAACATACCCAAGAACAACGACAGAATGATTTGGATACTAATCTTGTTAAGGTGTTGGCCAATTTCTTTTGATTTTAGCATTGAAAAATCCATTTGGCAGAGTCTACAATTGTCCACATTCTTTTTCTTTCCTTTTTTCCTGTGTACATTACAGGCTTGTAAAAGAGACTCTAACCTAGAATCTCCCCTTGCATACCCATCCATTCCAACCATCTGAGCTAATATCATAGTTAATTACATGCAGTAAAACCTAATATTGATCTTCATTTCTTGTTGTGATGCCTATAAGTGGAAACTATCAATGGAAGAACTTATTTACATGCAGTAACTTATGGCTTCAACATTGGTTAACAGCACCATAACAAGCACATTGCAGGTAACAAACAAACATTCTTTATCTGAAAACGATAATAATTATAGCTTGCCTGTGTTACGACTATTGTACAGACCCCAGCTGCGGTAGCAACAAGCAAGTTTGCTTTCGTTCCAATGGTCTTCCTTCCAGTTTTCTCCAAGTATAGCCTCCTAAAGTAGCTGTATCCATAGAAATAAAGAAATGACGAAATGAAGGATTGGACGTTCTTTATCCCAAGCCCTTGATACAATGAAAGTGCCTGACGAGTAGAAATTGCTTCCCATAAAACATCAGAAATATTCCTGCATAAATTAGAGCAACCAAATTTATTAAGCGTAATTTAATAATTTAATAGTGAACTTTGGCCATGTGTGTGCATCGTGACTGCAGCAAAAGTGGACATATGAAATTGGCAGTTGGCAGTTTATTGGACTAGCCATCAATGATCCCCCCCCCTTTTGTTTGATTAATTTAACAAGATTTCCTCGTTAGATTGTGCTACTTTCTCTTTACATGCTAGGTGATAGATGATAGTATTGAGCATGAAATACCAGCTTTAGAAATATTTATGCTTGTTCCTGATAGTCTACTGTTCTACTCCCAAACGAACACGCCAGGAATACATACTTGAGCCGGATTTGTTAACAATAAAACAGTTAACTTATCATTTTAGCAAACGTTTTTATGTATAATTTCACACTGATAGTTCAATAAGCTACTTCAAAGGAAGATGGACAAAAAGATTAGAACATGTTAATATAATTATCTAACGCAAATTGTAATCCAACTAATAAATATTGTTAGGAAATGGTTCAACCTGTATCTTCGCTGTTGTTTAGCCTGAACTTCAGCTTGATACTTGGTCTTGCAAGTATCTAGAGGGTACAAGACGGTGGTGCTAACAAGGGATCCAATGGCACCAGAAGTTGCCTCTGACAATGATTCCAGATCGAGCTGCATCTTTCCTCGGTAAAGCCTGTATAGATGGAAATTGAAATAGATTACCAGAACTCACGCACATCAGAGCCTCAGGGAGCAAGAGGGAATTGGGGTTTCACGGGAAGGAAACGAAAGCCTGTGACGTTGAAGGCGCAAAGAAAGCCATGAATTGACCAAGAAAGTGTGTAGGATGGGTTAAGCAGGTAAATAAAAGCTTCTGATTTTCGAGCTCTTGGTTGGACGTTGGTGCATTTTGCCCAGTAAGCCAAGGGATTGCTTGGTTTCAGCTTCGCAGTCAGAGTATCTGCTTGGGAGACGAAACGCGAAGAAATGGGCCTTAGGGACGACGCTATTAATGGAAAATTTGCACTTCTTCTTTTTGGGGAATTAAAGGAACAGGCACTGCCTGTGATATTCTAATTTCAAAAAAATATTATACTCAACATTCTTAATCGATCAAATATTAAAAAAATAATCATTTATTTTTAAATTAATTTTATTTTTTTATATTTATTCTTCTTAAACACCTTATAATAAATATAAAATTATTTATTAATAGGGACACTTTTAAAAAAAATAATTAAATTTTAAAAAATTAAAAATATTTTACATTTTTAATCATTTAATTTTTTTAAAAATATTTTATATTTTTTTAATGGACTGATTATGTCACTAGGTTATGAGACTTTTTACTTTGTATGCAATCTAAAATGAATTTGCCTCCGTAGTTGATATTATTCTATAATTAGCGTGATTTCTCGTATATATCAATTATATGTAATGACTATTTTGAGATTCAAAGTCACCTCATATTGTTAACAAGCGCTCCTTTGAAATGACGTATTAGTAATTTTTTACTCCCTATGATCCTTTTTATGAGGTCTTATTAGTTACTTTTCTAACATCAAGAAAATTAAAATTTTTTAAATGTTACATATTTTTATAACTTTTTAATTTATTCGTAATCAAACTAAAGTCATTATTTAAGCTAACAGTAAGAAAGAGCTGGGCATTTAAAAAAATGTGTCTTTAATGATTCGTTATTTAAGTTAAGGGATTTTCAGTAGTTAGTGTCCTGCAAATAGACTCAAAGAGAATGAAAACATGTTATTGATAATATTGTAATATATGTGTGAATATGAGGATTTTTTTGAAGGAGATAATATAATTAAAAAATAAAAATATTGGGCATTATTAAATGAATATTTCTATAAATATTCTTTAAGTATACTCTGATTCCAATGAGTTTGGAATTCAACCTGTCTAAACTTTTTATATAAAAAAATATTATAAGTGAATTTGCCTTTGCCAACACGAGCCAAGGGGAAGTGATAGTTTGGGATCGAAGTTAGAAAACATGATGAAACTTGAACAACTTGAAATTTTAAAATGTAAACTATTGATTTGGTTTTTTTTTTTAATGTCAATTAACCAAAACACCTCTGTTCATATAAAGGTTGGGTTTCAAATTATATGTAAACATGGGCGCACATTTGAATCAATTGGCTTTTTATTTTCTCCCCTCAAATACTATTAACAGACTAAAGTCTGTAGTTGACAGTCTAAACGTTCAAAAGCTAAATAGCCACAATTCTTATTATTTGATGAATGTTTTAAAATCTGATGAAAAAAACTGAAAAAAAGTCTGTTAATATTTCTAAACCGATATAAGAAGAAGTTGACATCAACATTTCTAAACCCGAATTAATATTCTTATTACTAAAGCATGAATAGAAAAACTGGCTTCGTGCAAAAAACCAAAAATAATATCCAAAATAAATTAAAGAGTCAAACTGAGTTGTTTATTCAGCCAGGTTCCGGTTCGAATCTTAGAACAATTTTGATGTCAAAGAATAAGTCCTCCTAATTTAATTCCTAAACCAATTGCAACAAAACGGAAGGCTAGGTCTGCTTTTTCAGCGTGTTTGGAAAGCCAATTTGCCAAAGTTGGAAGAGAAAGCTTCTGCGTTCAAATTTACAAAGGCACTGGGGAAATTATTAAAAAAGACTCAATACAAAATTATAAAAAAAGTATGAAATTTAATAAAAATTAAATTAAATTCTCTTCTCTTCTCTTTTTTTTCAGTCAAATTCTAACTTTAAATTTTTAAAAAAATTTACTAGCATAAGTTCCTATTAACCATCACCCTCCACTTAGTATTTATAGTAAAATTAATTTAAATAAAATATTAATTGATAAAAAAAATTAATTTAATTTAATTTAAAATTGAGGTTATTACAAATATTGTTGCAAAGGTCATAAAGAGAAATTTTCGCCATTTGTTATATTGCTATATTTTTTTATGTTGTCAAAATTTTAAGGCAATATTTAACATCTTCGTTAGATATGCTCATATTCATAATGTCATTAGAGATTAATTTATATATTATCATTTTTATTAGTTATTGTAAAATTGATGTTTGGTATTTAATAATTAAATCTTTCTCTTTTATTAAATTTATTTAAATTAAAATATATTGAGTTATTTATTTACAAAAATTCAAAAGTTAATATTAATATAATTCAAAATTTTAATTAATTAGATATATAATTTAAATAATATTTTTTACTTCTTAAATAAAATGTAACAACTTTAATAATATTAGATATAAATTTATCAATAATTTAATTTTGAAAGGCAATGTCCTTAATGGTAATTTATACAGCTAAAATTGATTCTGAATAAATTATTCAAACATCTTCAATTTTGTTAAAATTAATTTTAAAAAAATAATATCCAAACAAATTGTATTATAATATAATAAATTATGATTAAAATCTACAATTTAATCAATTACTTTCATAATTTATTATATACAACTGAAATTCAAACAGGCACTTTATTTGCCACGCTAATGCCATACGAGAGCTATCTCATATGCAAAGGAGATTATAATCATGATCATAACAAAAATGAGTTTTTTTAAATAATTAACTAATGTTTATGATTTTTTTAATGCAAGGTTATGGAAAAACTTTGAAGGGTAACAATTACTTCCTATCAAAATATAAAAAGCTTCTACACTCTAACTGCAGTTCTACAAAAATCATAGTAAAAAGAATGTTTCGAGCCACATATTGAACAAGCCAATCTATGCATTCACTCGTTTCAAGAAATATGATCAAAAGTAATGATCCAATCTTTCAAGATCAAATTCTTGATTTTATTGAAAATATTTGAGAGAGGATGATTCTAATTAAATCAAGCTGAGTGAGCATGAAAACTTTGATTATGTCAAGGCAAAAGTTGACTTCAATGAAGTTGCAATTTTAGCAAAAATATCCTAGGATACCCCCAAATTCAGTAATCGTGCTACAATAATAATCAAGGTATTTAGAAGAGTTTTTAATCTGATTTTATCTATTGTCCAAAATGAGACATCCATGGGTGGCATAATCATTAATGTCTGTAGAGCTGTGATATCCAATCTTATGTAACTAGTTTCAAGTGGACACCTTTTTCCATGAATTCTATCATAATTAAAGGCTTGCAGTTAAATTTTTTGAAAAAAGATTGAGGTCATTGACAATATTTTGAGTGGATAAGAAGGCAATATCTTTAGTTGGATGTCAAAGGATCTTCATCTGAATATATGAATTTGCTCCTCAAGCCTAGGTTAAAAGATCCTTCTAATTCTTTTGCTAAAAAAAAAAAAAAGATCCTTCTAATTCTCAAGCCTATCACATCCTTTTTTACATTATAAAGAATCTAAATCTTGTAAAGAAATGGAAAAGAAGATACTCATCTTAAATTTATTGACTAATTTCAACTAGACTTTCTTAAAATTTTTATGGTCACGTAGGATGTGTATCGATGAGTTGAGATAATTATACTCAAAGAAGCAAGCTCTCTTACTAGTTCTTGTAGCATTAGCATTGATGAATTTGGATTAGTGATGATCCCAAGCGACTTTTTAAAAAAATATTTTATTTTTTATATGTTAGCCATTTCTAAATTGATGAGTTGGGATAATTGTAGCATTAGCATTGATGAATTTGGATTACTGATGATCCCAGGCGACTTTTTAAAGAAATATTTTATTTTTTATATGTTAGCCATTTTCAAATTGTGCACCAAAATTCAAAATGGCTTTTGCCCTCTAATATTTTTCAAATTAATCAACCAAACCATTGGGCCATGTCAACTATGCTCTATCACGAATTATACAAGACAAGTTTTTCTTGCTGAATAAATAAATCCATGATACATGCTTTAGAAAATAAGATAAATATGCTTTATATTCTTCACATTTTACATATTATATTTTTGCCTTGCAGCTCTGTAAGATTGTAAACGAGGATCATGTGACACGGAGAAAATTCACACAAGCCGCAAGACACGACATCCGCAGAAGCAACACATACCCTCTTTTCCTAGAAACTTCTCCTCACTGAGCATCACACACTTAAACAAATATGAATTTCATACAAGATATACAATATTATTGTTTATTTTAGTACAAAATATAAAATCTCATCTCATTTTACTATATTGTAAAGCACTTTTCTGTACTTTGCAATATTATAAAATATGTTTTGAATGATAATGTGTTCCAACATTATTAAAAGAAATAACTGTGGGGCCATAGTTAAAAATGTATATAGAGATACGACTTAATAAAAATGATAAATACAATTTTACCAAAAAAATAATAAATATGAAATTTGTTATAAGATTACAAATTTAATTTTAAAAATGTAAAAAAATAAAATTTTTGTATTTTGAAAAATTATGTGGAATTCATGATAAAAATAATAGGTTTAAGATATATATATATTAGAGAATGATGATAGATATAAGATCTGTAGTAAAAATAATAAGGTGTTGGATATGTAATGAAATTATAAATTTAATTTAAATAAAAATTAAAACCAATAAGTATTTAGCTGACAGGATTTTTTTTGGAAATTTAATTTTAATTATGTGGGGATAAAAATTCATAAAATAATAAATTATTATTTATATTTTGAGTGAAATAACATGACTGTTAGTTCAATTATAAGGAAGATTTGCAGGAGCCAATAGTAAAAAAAAATTATAGAGATGAGACTCAATGAAAATGGTAAATATGAAACTTATAATGAGATTAAAAATTTAATTTAAAAATTTAAAATATAAAACTTTAATATTTAAAAAATCATGTGAGATTCATAATAAAAATAATAGGTGTAAGATTCATACTAGAAAATGATGGATATAAGACTTATATAGTAAGAATAATAGCTTTTGAATATGCAATGAAATTACAAATTTAATTTAAATGAAAGGTAAAAATTAAAAACTAAATATTTAACTAACTAAATTTTTAGAAATTTAATTTTTAATTTTTTGGGGATAAATTTACATAAAGTAATT